GAGTCCAATATAGAACGAACTTCCTACTCCTCCTGATCACCCACTACCAAGGGCGGAGGAGGAGCCCTTAGTGTATCAATTGCAAGTAAGAGGCAATTCTCATGTTAGCAGGAAGTGCCAAAGAATAAGTCACAGGGTTGATACGACGGAGGACCCGAAAAGGACCTATGTACCGAGGGGCAAATTTCATGGAAGGAACCTTAAGTTTGGCATGACGTGTGGATAACCACACCTTGTCTCCTGGTTGATAGACAGGATTGGCACCCCGTCTCTTGTCAGCTTGGATTTTAGCTCGTTTTGATGCCTTCTGTAATGCTGTATGAACGGAATCCCAAATATCATGAATTGAATCCAAACGGGTGTTCAAGGCAGGAATATCAGTGTCTGAAAATTCAGAAGGTAAAACAGTGAGGTGATAACCCTGATTTACAAAAAATGGACTATGATTAGAGGATTCATGAGTCGCATTATTTCTGGCAAACTCAGCCATGGGTAAGAGTCCATACCAGTTAGACTGATTGGAATCGATAAAACAACGTAAATAAGATACTAAAGACTGATTGGCCCTTTCTGCTGCGCCATTAGTCCGAGGGTGGTACGCTGAGGAAAATGAAAGTTCAATACCCAATTGCTTACAAAAGGTCCGCCAGAACCTATAAATAAATTGGGTACCTCTGTCAGATACTATGTTTTTTGGCACTCCATGCAACCGAAAGATTTCTTTCAAAAATATTTGTACAAGATCTTGAGCAGATGGTAATTTTTAAAGAGATACAAAATGTGCAATTTTTGAGAATCTATCTATGACCATAAAGATTGTGTTAAATCCGTTTGAACTGGACAGATCCACCATGAAATCCATGGCTAAATGGGTCCATGGAGTATTAGGTATCGGCAGTGGTTGTAGCAGCCCAGGTGGAGATTTGTGAGAGGCTTTAGAAACGGCACATATTTGACATACCCCTACATAATCTTTGATGTCGTTCCTAAGTGTAGGCCACCAGAACCTCCTGGATATAGCAGAGAGAGTTTTATGAACTCCAGGATAACCTGCTGTCAAATTATCATGGAATAATCCAAGTACCTTTTTCCTTAAAGGTGGTGAAATGTACAGTTTATCCGGAGGTCTCTCCACGGGTGCCTGAGCTTGATCTGCTATTATGGCACAGAATAGTGGAGAAGAACAAGGGGATTCGAGCAAATCGTTCGAGCTCTATCACAATAGCACAACACTAAGATTGCGCGATGTTATCCAGGATGGTAAAGTTAAAAATTTGACCCAAATCTTACCGACTGACACTCCGACGGTATTACAACAATTACATTACCACCAACTGAAACACTTCATCAAGACGCACAACCTACTACCCGGGGGGGACAGGCCTCTGACAAAATTTGAGCAATTGTGCTCCTCCCATCCGTTCTCTAGAAAAGTTGAATCTACCATGTACATACTAATTAGGGAGTCACAAGCAACTAATCTTCCAGGTTATACAACTAAGTGGTCAGACGAACTCAAAGTAGAGTTCACGCGCCCACAATGGCAATCCATCCTTAAAGCGGCACATAACACCACCATCTCGCTGACAGCGCAAGAGAGTAATTTTAAACGCTTAACATGTTGGCACTTTACACCAGCAAAAATCCGCATGATCCATAGCACGTCCACAGACAAGTGCTGGAGATGCGATCAACCGGGAGCTCACCACGCACACATATGGTGGCAATGCCCGCAAATAGCAAAATTCTGGAACAGAATTCACACTATCATTCTCAGCATCTTCCAGACCAAATTCCCCTTAGCCCCAGACCAGTACATCTTTCTCCTGCCCCCCCAGGGCCTATCAAAATTACAAACAGCCCTTTTCCATCACCTGGCCATGGCCGCGGCGCAACTAGTTCCCAAATATTGGAAGCAGCCAACCACCCCCTCGCTCAGAGAATGGATCCAGAGGGTGGAAGACACAAAACAATTAGAAGGTATAACGCAGGCTAAAGTAGGGAACTATGTGAAATACACCAAAATTTGGGCACCGTGGAATACATTCACGACACTGGAGCCACACTAGACAATAAACTATGATCATCTCATGACAAATGTTTGGAAGGTGAGGGAGGGGTGACCACGGGCGTGACCACGGGCATCCGGGAGCACAGTGGGAACCGAGAACTGACATTGACGAATCTAGATGACTAATTATTAGCGACAGTCCTTACACCAGCGATGACTCAGGACTCAGTAGCACAAACATGGGCTATGAAGGCTAGAAGTAAGATGTGGGGAAAGAAAAGAATCGAAGCCTCCTCATGACTTCACCAATACTAATAGGCGTTCTACTGAACCGAGCAATATCACACAGTTACTACTTAAGCTTATACTAGTTACTACTGTTCTCTGATACTTACGTTGCAACATAGACCAGCCTAACTTGACTAACTCCATGAAACTCATACTTCCGCAGATCAACGTCTTACGTATCACTCTGTACCTATACAGCATTGTATACTATTATCTACTATCAATGTTGAATTAATATCATTGCTAATTACTCTGTGTAATGTAAAATGCTGCACCTACGCCTCATACGGTATCACTGTACCTTCGCAAATATTACATGACATATCTGTACTGTTAAAATATACGTTTAAACCAATGTATGCATTACCTATGTTTAAAAATAAAAAAAATTTAAATTAAAAAAAAAGAATAGTGGAGAAGACACTTTGGAAATTGTAGTGGCAATAAGGCATTCTGGAGGTATTATAGGGAATACCTCTTGTTCAGGAACCTCAACTGTCTCAAACTGCCTAGACAGCGTATCTTCCTTGGTGTTCTTGGTCCCGGGCCTGTACGTAATTACAAAACTGAATCGGGAGAGGAATAAGGACCATCTAACCTGACGAGAGGACAATCTCTTAGCATCCCCAATATAAGCCAAATTCTAATGATCGGTAAAAAACAGAAGTGGTTCTTTGGAACCTTCTAAGAGATGCCTCCATTCTTTAAGGGCAAGTACAATGGCCAATAACTCCCTATTCCCAATGTCATAATTTTTCTCTGCAGAAGTTAGTTTTTGAGAGAAAAATCCACAGGGATGTAAAGGCGTATCAGGATTTTCTCTTTGAGACAGAATGGCTCCTACTCCTGTTTCTGACGCATCTACTTCTAGAATAAATGGTTTGGTTGGATCGGGATGTGTCAGGACAGGTGCTGAGGCAAATAAAGATTTTAATTGCTCGAAAGCCTCCTTTGCTTCCTTGGGCCATGAATTGCAATTTGCTCCTTTTTTGGTTAGGTTGGTAATAGGAGAGATTACAGAGGAATAACCTTTAATGAATTTGCGGTAATAATTCGCAAAACCTATAAAGTGCTGTGTAGCTTTAACGCCTTTGGGTAATGGTCATTGTAAGACTGCTTCCAATTTGCGTGGGTCCATTTTGAAGCCAGACGGAGATATAACATACCCCAGAAACTGTATCTCAGTCTGGTCAAACTGGCATTTCTCCAGCTTACAGTAGAGGCTGTTGTTTAATAGGGGTTTTAATACTGTTCTCACATGTTTGTGATGTGTTTCTAAGTCTGTGGAATAGATGAGAATGTCATCTAGATACACTAAAACGAACATGTGGAGATATTCTTTAAGGACATCGTTAAAGAATTCCTGAAACACTGCTGGGGCATTGCACAGTCCAAACGGCATTACTAGGTATTCGTAATGTCCCATTCTCGTATTAAACGTGGTCATTCACTCATGTCCTTCCTTAATTCTGACTAGATTGTAAGCACTTCTGAGGTTGAGCTTAGTGAAGACTCGGGCCCCTTTTAACTTATTTAATAATTCAGAAATAAGGGGAATGGGATAGGCGTTTTTTTATTGTTATTTTATTCAAACCCCTATAGTCTATACAAGGGCGTAGGTCTCCTTCTTTTTTAGATACGAAGAACAACCCAGCCCTAGCAGGTGAAGAGGATCTACGTATGTGACCCTTTCTGAGAGCATCCTTTATGTACTCTTCTGGCAAAGATTTTCTTGGGGAGATAGTGCATATACTCCCCCTTTAGGGGGCATAGTTCAGTAACAATTTTATGGCACAGTCGTAGGGTCTATGTGGTGATAATACCTCTGACTGAACCTTGTTGAATACCTCTTTTAAGTCCAAATACTGCGGTGGGACTTCTGTGGTTAAGGGAGGCGCTATAGGTACATTGATGGTACCAATTCGTTGTGACACCCTTTTTAAAAAAAGATCTTTGCATCTCTCACCCCAACTCACTATTTCTCCTTCAACCCAATCTAAACGTGGATTGTATTACTGGAGCCAAGAGAAACCCAGTATTATCGGACATGTTGGAGAAGATATAATTTGGAAAACCATTTCTTCCGAATGTAAGATACCCACTGAGACAGTGATCGGCAGGGTTTTGTGCATGATGAGAGGCTGGGTAAGAGGTCTCCCATCGATAGCCTCAACTGCTATGGGTCTATCTTTCTGCCTTAAGGTCAGGAGATGCTTGGCAGAGAATTCCTTTTCTAGAAAATTCTCCGCTGCCCCAGAGTCAATCATAGCCTCGCACTGTATAGTGGTTTTCTTATAAGACAAAGTAATTTTAATAAGGAAATGGTTCTTAGTCAATTTAGGGGACATATACATCACACCTAAGGTCGGTCCCCGAATGTGCCTAAGGTGTGCACGTTTTCCAGCAGAACCGGACACGAAAACCTTTGATGTCCCCTTTTGCCACATTATAAAGACAACCCCTCATTGCGTCTGTGTTGTCTCTCTGCTTCAGTGAGTTTAGCAATGCCCAGTTGCATGGGTTCAGGTTCTGGAGGTGGAGCATGGCTAATTACCACTGGGTTAGAGAAACGAGGGGCTATGGATAAGTTAGAACGTCTATTACGTTGTTTGTTTTTCTCTCTCTCTCTGAGCCCGTTATCAATATCTATCATGTATGCAATAGTGTCATTAAGGTTAACTGAAAGATCTCTGGCTGCAGGCTCGTCTTGTATATTTTCTGCTAAACCTTCGGCAAAGGCAGCTACTAAACCGCTATTGGTCCAGTGAACCTCAGTCGCCAATGTCCTGAACTCTATGGCGTAATCAGCTACAGAGCGGTTGCCTTGTTTTATTTTCATTTGAGCTCTGGCAGCGTTCTTTGCTCTTCCTTTTAGTTCAAAAGTAGCTTTAAATGCTGATAGGAATACATTGTAATCACGGGCAACAGGACTTTCACTCTCCCATAAGGGATTGGCCCAGGTTAAAGCCTTACCCGTTAATTGGTTCATTAGATAGCCAATTTTCGATCTATCTGTAGGGAATGAACCAGGGGAAGTTTCGAAGTGATATTCAATTTGGTTTAAAAAAAACTCTAAATTCCTTAGAATCACCTCCAAAACGAGGGGGAGGTGAAAGGGTTAAGGACGGTGGTTTGTGTGCCACAAGTGCTACTACAGGTGGCGGAGCCACAGGTAGTACCGGAGGTGCCTCTAGATAGGCAGTTCTCTGGAGCAAGGTCTGGAATGCTTGGGCAAACGGATCTAACCTGTGGTCCATATCCTCCACCCTACTCTCACAGGCAATCATATGTTTGCATAGTTCCGCAGGATCCATGGCCCTGTCTTAATGTCACGGTTGCTAGTGTGGTCCAACACGCAGAAACTATGTAAACATATACATACAAAAGAAAAGGAAAATAAAAGGACAGAGCGTAAACCGGACCTTAGAATGGCCGGACTAATACGCTAGAGATAGAGAATGGTCAAAGGGAAAGCCGAGGTCAAGGAAGCCAGAAATACTCAGATACTGTTTAAACAAGCCAAGTCAGGGGAACCAGAATTCGGAACAACCAGGGAAAAGCCAAGATCAGGATACCAGGAAATCATATTCACAAAGATAAACGCACTCTCGGGAACCAGGAACAGGGAACCACGACAGGGCAAAGAACTGGAGTGAATTAGGGATTTAAATATCCATCTCTGGGCTCTGATTGGTCAGAGGGTGACCTCTGACCCCAGAACGTTGTGATGTCACGCGCACGTCCGTATAAATTTTAGGGGCGGAACTTGTGATGCGCGCGACCATGTGGTCAGCGCCATCTTTGATTTGAGCACAACGCCCAGAAGATGCGGAGGAGCGGTTCCCGGCTCGCCGGGGAGCAGGTAAGCTCGCAATATCGGCGAGGTCATGCCGGTCGGGCCTGGAGCTGTGCCATGCGGCGGGCCTGGAGCTGCAACAGGAAAGTTCAGTGTCTGCATGCAGAGGGAGGAGATACTGAATGTTTAGATGCATTTTAGGAAGCCATGACCCAGGAAGGATCTCTAACAGACATCTGAGGAGTGGCCAGTGAAGTTATCACTAGGCTGTAATGTAAACACTGCATTTTCTCTGAAACAAGCCTGAAGGTAATGATTCTACTCACCAGAACAAATGCAATAAGCTCTGGTGACTATAGTGTCCCTTTAAGCAATTTAACATTAGTTTGTAGTTGTATAGTACTGTAATTCATTCATTGTAGTGATCTTTGAAGTATTGAAAACTTTCATCAAAATTAACCTGTCCCATGTTTGCAGTTTTGTTGCTGACATTGATCTAGGAGAAAGCAAAAAAAAAAAAAAAGAAACAGAAAAATCCATTCATAGTTGTTGCCATTTTTCTCCACTGTAGTATATCATATTTATGGCTTTCATAGTTTACTTGGCTCATTTGACTGATACCTTTCTGCCATATATTCAGTTTAATTAATTCAATTTCAATGAATTTGCAATATTGAATGACATGTTTTACTTAAGGTGTCAAATATTTCTGACAACATAGTCTTATGCTAAATTCAATAACAGTAATGCACTAACTGCAAATAGATACATCTTTTGATGTGGGTGTTGATTTGTTGTCATCTGTATATCTTTTTAGATGAATAGATGAGAAAAAAACATACATAAAAAAGCTGCTAATCCACTATAAGAAATACTAAATCATTTTAACATATTTTCATACAAAATGAACAATATAAATGCCTGAATAGGTTGTTTCACAATTCTGTAGATATATTTAAACAACAAATAATTGCAATTTGGAAAAACTGAATATCTGCAATCATGTTATAGTTGATATGTAGGGTAACAGGTATTGATGCAAGGAGATTGCCATGGTGGAGTCAAGAAATTTTTTCTCATTTTGTGACATAATTGGAAATTGCTTTATATTGTGTTTTTCACTTTCTTTTGCATTACAGTAGAAACTGAGATTAGTGAAAGGCTAAACTTGATGGACTTGAGTATTTTTGTCAGTATTTGTATCACATAATTTTTTTACTAGTTCACTATATATGTACATATGTATATAAAGAAAATATTGTGCCAACTACTCCTTTGTACAATCTTTACAATTTTTCCATTTTATTTTGTTTATCTTTTCTACACAACAATATCCCTTTCTTTGTTGAGTTTATGATCTGCAGAACTCTGCAGTCACTATCTTGGTATGTACCTTTCTAACACCAATAGTTTGTTCATTAGAGCTGGATTTTCTAAAGTAGACCACAGCTGTTCAACTACAACTCTCATAATTCTCAGTGAGTTTTATGCTGGCAGTGAACTTTTGAAAATTGTAAACATCTGTTGAATATCAGATCAACACCCCTACATCATCCAAATACTCGTTTTCCTGGCACTATAGTGGGACCTCAGGGTCCCACTCCCGCCCGGCTCTGGAAGGGGGAAAGGGGTTTAAACTTACCTTTTTCCAGCGCTGGGCGGGGAGCTCTCCTCCTCCGATCCTCCTCTTCTCCTCCTTGTCGGCTGAATGCGCACGCGCGGCAAGAGCTGCGCGCGCATTCAGCCAGTCACATAGGAGAGCATTCATAATGCTTTCCTATGGACGCTGGCGTGCTCTCACTGTGAAAATCACAGTGAGAAGCACACAAGCGCCTCTAGTGGCTGTCAATGAGACAGCCACTAGAGGAAATAGGGGAAGGCTTAACCCATTCATAAACATAGCAGTTTCTCTGAAACCGCTATGTTTATGAAAAAATGGGTTAACCCTAGCTGGACCTGGCACCCAGACCACTTCATTAAGCTGAAGTGGTCTGGGTGCCTAGAGTGGTCCTTTAAATGAGTTTATTTCCAGTATCCAATTTTATTTTGGGGCAGGGTTTCTTGGATCTGGCAATAACTGAAAAAGGTCCTGCTTATGCTTATCAAACAGCTTATGATCTATGAGGTTTTTAGGTAGGCGGATATATATACCATATATATCATCTTGTCCAAGGACACTTCCTGGTGAGGATTAAAAAAGCTCACATCGTTTCTGAAATACCAGATAAACAACTCAGCCTCTTCCAAAATACAAAGTCTAGATTGCTACAGATTTAATTAGCTTGCTAATTACATTAATGGCCTAAGCCAGAGGCAGTTGGCACTGTCAAGTATAATAATACTGAGGAATATAGCTTAGTTAAGAGGCTATTAAGTAATATTAGTGAGAAAATATGACTACATAAATGCTCTTGCAGAGAAATGATTCAATTTAAAATTAAAAAGTGCTGACAAATTCAAACAAACAAAAAAAGGCAAGAGCTAAAACTAAAAATGTATTAAAAAAAAAAATATTTCCATATAAAAGCTTCTATATGTCAAGTTATCATTGTTCAGTAGGCTGAAAGGAGATGTACTACTATATAAAATCATGTCAAACACACAATATGTTGCTCTGAGACCATGCACCGACTACATGTATTGTACCTTATCATATCCAACTCTATTCTGTTTTGACTGTCAAACAGACATGATTCTCATTAAATCAACAGGTTCAATTTTCAGTGAATATATTCCACAACATTCTGCTGATCCTGTATTCTTATGACAAATAGCTGAAATAAACCTTAAATGTCAAATTATTTTATAGAGCTCAAAGTTGAAAAATAAAATCTGTGTAAATACCGCCAAGTTTAGCTTTCTAATAATGAGAGCTCAAAATGCACATAAACCCATGCAAATTATCTTAATAAGAGCCACTTAGGGCTGGAAAATAATTCTATACCAGCCCCATAATGCATCGCGCCAGCATAGTGTGCAGATATGAAAGTTGAAAAAAAAAACCTGAAAACTATCACTCGAATGTGAAAGAAAGCACTCATAGGGCTTCAAAATAAACAAAAAATAAACAGATTTATTGTAAGCAGACGCGCATTTGCATATAATCAATGTTTCAGTCCAACTATCTTCACATATTAAGAAAAGTTTCGTAATTGAACTAAAATTGTGAATGTATGCTATTGCACAGTAGTAAATAAAATGACGTTATCTTGTTTGTTTTGAAGTAATAAGAGTGTGCTCTTCACTATGGCTGACAACTGGATGATCTTAGTCAACACCAATTCAATTCCCATAGGAAAGCATTGAGAGGCTATTGCTCATGTGTGACAAAACGCTGTGCTTCAACGCACCAATTAGCATCTCCTCATAGAAATGCATTGCATCAATGCATCTCTATGGGGAGCGTTCAGTGCCTCCATGCAGAGCGTGGAGATGCTCAACATAGGTGCTGCACTCTGTGCAGCACTGGACTAGGATGCAGCTCTAGTGACTATCGCTAGAGATGTTGTCTGAAAAGTTAGCATTTACAGTGCTCAGCCTACAGAGACAGGCTACAAACACCAGACCCCTCTGTGTCTTTTCCCCCCCCAAGCTATCTGTGTCTTTTTACTCCCCAGCCCACCTATGTTTCTCATTACCCCCCAGCTCTCCATGTGTTTCATTCCACCCTCTCCAGCCTTACATGTGTCTCATTAGTCCCCCATCCCTCTATGTTTCTCAACCCATCCCCACAGCCCTCCATGTTTCTCAATCCATCCCTCAGCCCTCTATGTGTCTCAATCCATTCTCCCCAGCCCTCCATGTGTCTTATAAGCTCACTCAGGCCCTCCATAGGTCCTTATAGCCCCTCCCAGCCCTCCATGTGTCCCTATAGCCCTCCATGTGTCTCCCCCCGCAGATCCCCATGTGTCTCATTAGCTCCCCCAGCCCTCCATGTGTCCCATTAGCCCCCAGTCACTCTATGCATCTCATTTACCCCATTTGTACTATTAGCCCCCTCCCAGCCCTGTATGTGTCTCATTAGCATTCCCATGTGTCTTAGTAGCCCCCCACACATGTCTAATGAGCCCCCCCATGTGTCCCATTAGCACCACAGCCCTCCTTTTGTCATATTAGCCGTCTCTCTAAGCCCTCCATGTGTCCCTATAACCTCCTCCAGCCCTCCATGTGTCCATATAACCCCCTCCCAGCCCTGTATGTGTCTCAGTAGCC